ATATATATAGATATATATATATATATATATATATATATATATATATATATATATATATATATATATATATATATATATAAAAGGTTTGTTCAGTTTTAAGATAAGAGAAGTCCTGAAATGAGATGTCAAGTTGTTGGAAGCTATAACAAACACAAAGAGCACAGGGGATGTTTTATATAGGTCATGTTACCATATGATCTGCCATAACTAAACATAATAAATACATTTATTAAAGAAAAATGAATTGATTTGAGTTTGACAGGGTTTGTTCTGCATCACTGGAGGCAGAGCTCTACTCTCACATTAGACACAAACACAGAGTTTCAGCTGTCTGCTGAGGACTTCTGCTGCAAATGCAAAACAAACCTACAGAAAACTGCACAGCTGGAAATCAACATCTGCGAGAAAAATAGGCCCTCTGGGCTTGATCAGCAGCTTCCTGTGTTTCAGTGCTTCTAAGCTCAACAGCAGGTTTGATGGCTAAAACTGGGTTCACACTTTTCAGCCAGCATGGACGAAATCTGGAATCTTAAACCTTAAATCTTCTTAAAAGTTAAATGAAGCAATCTTTTCTGATTTGTAAAATCGCACATTAAGCCATTCATAAGCCTGACTTGATCACACGCTGTATGTGCGTTTAATAATTTAATACTTTGTAGGCTGAATGGAACGAGCGTGCGGACAGAATATGGCCCATAAACCACCAGTTGATGATTCTTCACGTGTCGAACAAGGTCAGAAAACGAAAACTTAAAAATAAAACTTGCTCTTATATTCAGTTAAGAAGTAACTAAAATGTATTTTTAAAGTGCCTTTCAAGATCAAAACAATCACTGGGTGCTCATATAAAAAAAAAGCAAGGATAGAATGAGTCAAGATGAAATAAAAGTAACAAAATGAGCTGAAATAAATCAAATGCTACCCAAACGGCTGTATAAAAAGTTTTGTTTTCAGCTATTTCTTATATAATTTACCAAGTTCAGAGCGAAAAGGAAACACACGTTTACAGCAGGTTTGATTCTCTCCTCATTCAGTTGAAGAACATTAACAGAAAACTGGGATTTTGTACATTTTAAACACATTTACATGCAGGGAAAGGATACGTTGTTGAGTAAAGCTGAATATAACCTGCATAATAACAACAATAATAATAATAATGGTAATAATAATAATAATAATAATAAATAAATAAATAAAAACCACACAACCTCTCTGTGAAGAGCAGCTGAAATAAATGATAAAAAGCTTTTGTTCACAATTATTCAAATGAAAAATACCTGCAATCACCTTTAAAAGGTCATATTTTATATTCTTCACTGGGGGAATGAAGCCTTTCTAGAAGTCAGTCTGTACAAAGGTGAATATCGTAGTGCATCTATGTGTTTTTCTGGTGGTGGTGGTGGCGGGGGGGGGGGGGGTGCTGTGGGGCTCAGCTTGAAGGAACTGAGAGTTTGTTGCAGAGGGTGTGGTGTGAAAGCGGCCTGTGTGTGTGAGGTCAGGGCTCCTCGGCAGCACTTGAACTTTCCACTGATCATGGGAGGGCGGCGCTATCAGAGTCAGACCAAAGGCCTCTGAAGGCGTGTAGGTGGAGACCTTCAAAGTGCGGCGGGCCTCCGGCGATGATGTGACAGCTTCCTGTTTACCCCTGAGCGGCCCTTCTTCTTCTCCTCTCCTCTGTCATCTTGTTCAAGAAGATACGGTGAATTGAAGAACAACTGAGGGAGCGGGCTCAGTCTGAATCCGCTTATCTCTGCGCTCCCACCACCCTGCGTGTCACTCTCCGTACGCCCTGTCTCCTTGTGCCACGTACACCTCTGCTTCGTCTCTTTAGCCCTTTAGAGCTCCACATCACAGGGTCTGTCATCCCCAGAGCTCTGTAGTTTCAGGCTGAGGGACATTTTTACAAACTGAAATTAAGAGAGCACTTGTGTGTCAGTTTTAGTTGAAGCACAGTGCACGCTGACCTTTCACATACCGTCAGAGTCATTGTTTATGTTGAGCAATCACAGCTGAGTACAAGCACCTTCCACAGGATGTAGCCCAGCTAAGAGCAGTGGTTTCCTTTCAGCTTCAACAAAACATAAATAGCCTGTTTTCAGCTCTGACAGGCTGATATATATTCAGATTAAAAGAGGAAGTGCTCTGAGCGGTTACATGCTTCTGTTTTGCTTTTGGATTTCACTGCTTGGTTTGTTAGACTGCACGAAACACACAGAGGCTGACACCTTGTTTGTGTTGGACAGCCCGATCCAAGAGTGTGTTTCCTGGGGACGGACCAGGACCAGGCTTGCCACGTTCCTTCAGGTCCATGGAGAGGCCACTGAAGGCCGGCTGGCTGAAGAAGCAGCAGAGGTCTTTAGTGAAGAACTGGCAGCAGCGCTACTTTGTGCTGAGAGGAAGCACTCTGACTTATCACAAAGATGACAAGGAGACCACAGTACAGGTGAGCCGCTACACAGAATGACGACTTTTACACTTCTACTTTTTAACAAATGCTGTTTGTCACTAAACTATACTAGTACATTTTGAAGTTTCTTTTTGCAAGTGTACTTTAAGTTAAGTATAAGTATTTCAAGTATACTGTAGTGTACTAGAAGTATACTGATTTAATACTTGTTTGGACTAAATTGGGACATTTTTATACTATTTTAAGTATATCTAATAAAGTTAGTAAAAAGTAAACTTCAAGTACACCTCCTTGTTTTTAGTGTAAAATAAGTATACTTGAAGTATACTTAAATAAACTACATTTTGCTAACAGTTACTACAACCTGACTGACACGTGAGCACAAAATGTAATAACCTTCTCCATATCTTTTTTTATTCAACCTCTCTTCAGTGTTTTCATGTGTAATGTAACTAAACTATCATCGTAATATTACTGAATTATTTTATTGTGTCATATAATATTTATAGAATAAATCATAGAATAGATTTTCAAAAGTGTCTTTTATCTTTTTCAGTCTTCACCACAATCTCTCTCCTAGCTGTGTAGCTAGCGCTGCACACTTCCTGTCGACAATCAAGCGATGCATGAGCGCTCAAGACTTAATCAGCCATGCAACTAAAAGCAACTAGAAAGTTCATGGAGAAACTTTGACGGGGACTGCCACGTTGCAGCCATTTTTAAATTTTGATTTGACTGTGCTATGTGTTGGGGTTCACTCTCAGTTACCACCATTCCAAACTGCAGCTCAATATGGCAACAAAAATCAATGAGTTATTGTCCTTTTTTTTTTCTTTTAAGCTATCGTGGCCATCTTGGATTTTTGATTTGGATTCAGTATGTGATGGGAATGTTCTCTGCTATAACTACACAAAATTTAAACTCTATGCTTAAAAATAGTTGATAGCCATTTAAATGCAGCTTTGGTGTCCATCTTGGATTTGTCAGTTACCATCACACCAAATTTCAGCTAAATATGTCTAAAAATGGTTGATTTAAAGTATGTTTCCTTTTTAATTCGGGTGGCCATCTTGTAGTTTTTATTTTCATCAGAGTCTATTGTTGTCAGGTACCAGTACACCAAGTTTCAGCTCAATAGCTCTACAAACAGCTGCGTTGTATCCATTTGAAACTAGCTTTAGCAGCCATCTTGGATTTTTAGCTTTGATTTCAGAATGTGTTGAGCATCATTGTCACATATCACCACACTAAATTTCAGCTCAGTTACTTTTTTAAAATAGCTGAGTCATCATATGCTTTCCCTTTTAGCTAAGGCAGCCATCTTGGATTTTTAATTTGCATTAGGAATGTGTAACAACTCATTCTCAGCTACAAAAATATCAAATTTCAGTTCAATCTTTTAAAGAATGACTGAATTAAAGTCAATTTGGAGTTTTCTAAGGTAGCTGTGGCAGCCATCTTGAACCCAAATGGCTCCAAAAGTTAATCGGTGTTTTGTTCAGAGACCTCTTCTCTCTAGGTCATGTGACCTCACTGTGGCAGTTAGAGGCTGTGAAGAGTTACGTTAGGCGTGTTTAATGGGATAAACGGTGTGTTTGTTTGCAAATTTTGGTGCCATGGTAACTCGAAATGCCAATAAAAGTAATAGTACACATCACGGTGCAGAGCCAGTCGTTTTGATATAACACTTGTGGGGGTACACATTGCGGTTTGAGCTGCATTAAAGTTGAAGTTAAAGCAAGACATAATACAGGTGGATAATAATAGGTGGCTGCTTGTCTAAGCAGTCTCCAATAATGTTTGTTATCCACGTGTGAAGTGGAAACATTGTGAGAAAACTACCATAAAATGTAGTGGTGAGATGATGAAAGATGTACCAGTACAGGTGTGTTTCAGGTGACGAAGAATTTAATGATTCAAAGATTCAAGGTTCTTTATTTGTCATAGTGAGACCAGCTATGTTGTATGGTCTGGAGACAGAGACATGGACAAAAAGACTGGAGAAAGAACTGGAAGTGGCAGGAATGAAGATGCTGAGGTTCTCCTTAGGAGTGACGATGGATAAGATTAGGAATGAGATCATCAGAGGTACAGCACATGTTGAACAACTGGGAGATAAAGTTGGAGAGGCAAGACTGAGATGGTTTGGACATGTCCAGAGGAGGGACAGTGGGTATACTGGTAGAAGGATGTTAGAAATGCAGCTGCCAGGAAAAAGACAAAGAGGAGATATATGGATGCAGTTAGAGAGGACATGGAGGTGGATGGAGTGAGGACAGAGATGGAGGAGGATGACTTTCTGTGGAGACCCTGAAGAGGGAACAGTTGAAAGAAAATGAAATATCAACCAGTGTTTCCAGTATTAACTCCAATACTCAAAGCTCCTTTTAGACAACTTTTTGCTATTCATTTTAACTTTTTTTGTTTGTTTGTTTTTCAGTACAAAAATTTAATTCCACTTATACAGAAACATTTCCACTAGTGAATCAATTATACTTCTGTAGGCACAAACATCTTTATCCACCCTTACAGAGCTAACAATAAATACATTATACCTCAGTCAAGACGTGTGTTTCACTAGAGTTTGCCACCATAACTTAGAGGTAACTGAGCTATAAGGTTTCAGCAAGCAATAAAAAATACATTTTAAAAGATTTATTTTGAATTTTTACTCATAAAAAAACAATTACTGACAATCTTATCGTGTTCCTCATAACTACAGAAGCATCTATTTTGCTTCTAGTTCCATTTTTCTGTCTGTGTGGGATGCTTTGGTTCACTGGCAGCTACTGCTAGACTGAGTGTGACAACAGCCAACATCAGCAGACGTTTGCAACAATGTTTAATTATCTTGTTAAAAATATTAATTTTCTCCTGTCTTTGACAGGAATACATGGGAACCTTTTAACTGAAGTTAGAATGGATTTTTTTTTTTAAAGGAGTGGTGGCGCAGAGGTTAGAAAAGGTGGGCCTGTGATCGAAAGGTCACCGGGTCAACTCCCTGGACTGACAACATCAAAATATGGGTGGGAAAGGTGAAGAACCTGCCTCTACTCTCATTTGCCCCACTCTGTGCCCTTGAGCAAGGCCCTTAACCCCCACCTTCTGCTCCCCCGGGTGCCCTAGTTAGCTGCTCTCTGCTCCACTCAGAGGGCTGTGGCAGCTCGGTGGTCTGTGGTTGTGTCAGGAAGGACATCTGGTGTAAAATAATCACCAAGTCTTCGTGTCACTAACTGTGGTGACCTCTGAAGAAGGGAGCAGCCGAAAGAAGAAAGAAAAAAGGATATGTTAAAAAAAGATGTATAAATAACAAACTTTCTAAGTCTATTATGCTTCTAACTTTAGCTTCTGGTTACATCTTAAAAACATGTTCGGCTTTTCCTCTCTCCTTTCATTATCATTCAGAAAAATCTAAAAAAACAAAAAGTTATATTTGACTGTAATGTTTGGACCCTAAGAGAAATGGACACCTGCTGTGTTTGGACTGTGAACAGGTATTACTTGTGGGACAAGTTGTATTTTTATGATGACTGGATGTCGTTTGTGTTTTTGGCCTGCAGGGAGTCATCCAGCTGCGCTTCAGTAACGTTAATGAACTTCCTCCAAGCTCAGATGACTCCGGGAAGTACCTCTTCCAGATCATTCCACGTAAGCGTTTAATCCTTTAAAAGGGAAGTCGATGCATTTCACCATCGCATCAATGGTTTGTGAGTTACAGGGAAACAAGAGCAGGAGCAGGTTTTTTTATTTTTAACTGCCTAAAATGTGTCCTTTTCTTGTACCACATGCTGGTTTTGAATAATTCTTCTTTTTCTTTCGGCTTTTCTCTCTTCAGCGTCTCCACAACGAGTCATCCTCCTCCACCTCACTCTGTCCTCACTCCATGTACCTCCATGTCCTCTCTAACTGCATCCATACGTCTCCTCTTTGTCTTTTCCCTGGCAGCTGCATTTCTAACATCTTCTACCAGTATACCCACTGTCCCTCCTCTGGACATGTCCAAACCATTTCTTGGTTTTGAATAATTATTTTCAGTAAATAATAAACTATAATAATAATAATAATAATCAATAAACAAACTGATAAGAGGCACAAGCCTTTTTCTAAAACACTCAGATTTTAATTGTATTTCAATTTGAAACTACTATGATTCTTTTTTAGGTTTGGCTGGAGACAGGGAGCGATGTCCGCATGTGTTCATGGCCAACTCCCAAAGTGAGATGGAGGACTGGGTCCGCACCCTGCGCAGAGTCATCGGAGTGCCAACCAGTGGAGGTTGGTGTACTGATATTTTACTGAATTAATCGTATCTATGACACTGGTCAGTTTCAGAGAGAACTGGGGGGGATCTGGTCTTTGGAAGCAGATATGATGCTCTCAAACGATAGGTGCAGCTCTGCCCAACAATGAAAACTTACACATGACGCAGAACATACAAAGTGCATGTTTGGAATGATTCTCAGCTACCACCAGACCAGCTGAGTAGCTGTAAAATGTACTGTTACAGCCATTTTTGTGTTTGCTGAAGTCAGTTTGCTGTGGCAGCCATCTTGGATTAGTCTGAGTGTAAAAGTTAACCAGTTGAAGATGTTCATCCAGTGATTACTGTCTGAGTGTGTCATTAAAATCCATCCAGGGAAATATTTTGGCGAGTTAAGTTTAAAGACAACAACATCGTAATAAAGTGAGACAGATGTAAACAAACGTGTTTTTCAGGATCTGGAGCAGTTTCCTCAACATCCTCTGCTCAGACACCTCTGTCAGAGACTGCAGGTCCACTCACAGAACTGAACCAGCTCTCTTCATGAGGATGTCGAGTCTGTTGGCATCAGCTTCCTTCACTGCTGCCCCAGCACCACAGTGTAGAAGAAGACGCTGGAGACCACCGAGTGGTAAAACATCTGCAGCATGGTTCTGCAGAGACCACCGAGTGGTAAAACATCTGCTGCATGATCCTGCAAAGACCACCAAGTGGTAAAACATCTGCTGCATGGTCCTGCAGAGACCA